CCCCCCCCATCAACCCTAAAAGTACAAACATAGAGAATATATAATGCAATATTCCCTCAAAAATCCTACTACTAAACTAGCCATTACTGCTCCTTCCGACACTTGACCTTGGCCATGATCGACTGCTCGACGGTGAGTTTCATTGGTTATTAGTTGACCTTGGCCAAATTACTTTCAGCAATACCAATCCTTAGTCAGATTTGACCCATACAGAAAGAAGACCTTTTAGTCCCGTAGAGTTGTAACTCTAATATCAAGTTAGTGCCGTAGAAACTGGCCGATGAAATGTTTCAACCATTGCCAAGAAAAGGAAGAAACACAAATGATTAAACCTGTTATCACTCTGTATTCAAAATCAGAAAACTAGAAAAAACATTAGTTTAAGAAAACAAAACAGAAAAATTTTGAGCTCACAATTTTCTTGTGTCCTTAAGGAATTTAATCGCCTCACAGTTGTCTAAGGTTACGAATTAATTCCTCCCAAGATAAAACGGAATAACTATTTTGTGATAGCGGCACTTTAAATCACAGAATTTCGGCGAACTCAAATAGTGAAGCAAATCACACGAAATGCTTACATTTTTTTCTTTGGGAAAACAATGCAAAAGATAGAGAGGAGAGATTTTCAGATTTTTCGGTGGTTAAAATGAGGCTGAGCCTCTATATTTATAGCGATCGAAGCTGAAGTCGAGCGATGACGACGATGGCGCGAGGCTTGCTCTCTTCTCAACATGACTTTAAGAGCTAGAAGAAGTGTTTCTATATATAAGCACAAGAATTTTCCTCTTCCTATCCAATGAGGGACAAAGTTCCTTTGTAAAAAGGACTAATTCAAAATTTTATTTCCCTCCATTTCTTTTCTCACTATTTTTCATTCATACCTCTTTTGTTTTGATTAACAAAACCCAACAAAACCAACTGTAGATTGTCAATGGCCAATTTAAAAAGTTGTAAAAGAAGATGCAAATTGTCTTTGAGATCAAATGTAAGGAAATAGCATGGCTACTCATTTTTTGGATCGGCAATTGAAAAATAGCTATTTTATGCGGAAATAAAATCTGGACAAAAATACTCTAGCTAAAACACGAAAAGTTCAAGCATAAAATGATGGATTATGGAGTTCATGCGTATAAATTTTCAACATATTATGTTGGAACTGCAGCACATTATGTTGGAATCTCATATGCAAAAATTTGAACTTCAACATATTATGCTGGAATTTATCCGGATTTCTAAGGGTGCTTTTGTTCATATTTTATCTTTACATATAAAAAGAAAGTAACTAAATTTCGATTACTTTTGAAATTGTAACTATTTTTCAACTAGACCAAGGGGCCAATCAATATTTATTGAAACCAATAATGTCTACTACATGCATTTAGACCTTTCAACCATTAGCATAAATAAGAACTTTCATCTACTTTACATTAATGTGAAATTACTGCGTGTTAGGTCTGCGAATTATGGAGCTAACTTCCGTACCCTCGTGAATTTCAATTTGTATACCAGAAGTTATACGGCGTGATAAGGTGGGCTAAAACGCGGGATATTATTTTGGGAAAATGATTTCAAAACTAAATGTAAAGGCTCCCACAGTAATATAAGGAAAGATTGTGACTTATTCTTGTGATTTGAAAATACGAGGCGGTACCTCGGTAGTGGCTCTTATTGGCATTTCTCCATTGTATGTTGCACTTGTTTTTTGTTGTTGGTTTCCTTAGCATATTATTACTTGTTTTTTTCTCTGTGTTGCACTAATTGCTTAGTTCCGTGTAGCTAATCTTGATATGCTATCTGTTGTTTCAATTCCTTTAATATCATTATTACACTATCTTACACTTGTTCACCCTTTTATTAGTCCAGTAGGGCCGTAACCTGACCTCGTCACTACTCTACCGAGATTAGGCTTGACACTTATTTGGTACCATTGTGGTGTATTCGTGCTACGCTTATGCACATCTTCTTGTGCAGATCCAGGTACCTTTTACCAGCCCAGACACTAGCAAGAGTTTGGCTACAGAGACATCAAAGTATACCTGTCGACGTCCGCAGGCTTAGAAATCCCCCTCTACCCTGACTATTCTACTTCCCTTATTCTTTTATAGATTTTGATGAGTAGGATTATGCAGTACTTCTATTTAGAGCTTGTGATTTATATTTGTCGGGTCTTGGGAGTTGTATATACTAGGTCGCACAGTTTATTTATTATAGTTGCTGAGTTTTGAGACTTATATTTATTATTTCAGTTGTTTCCGCATGTTGTTAGAGTTACCTAGTCTTAGAGACTAGGTATAGTCACATTATCTCACATAGGTAAATTAGGATCGTAACTCTAGACAAATTACACACCAAAAAGAAAAGAAAAACTAAATGTTATATATAAGACACCACAAGTTCATATAGTGCGTGTAATTTCGGATCCATGTGGCCAAGAAAAAATCTTCCGAGATCTATGGGGTCAAAGTGGAAGTAGAACCACGGGTTTGGTCCGTAAAACTTTCTTTACATGATCCCCACAATTCGATGAACCGATTAATTTATTTGTTACTCTGTCACTTGTCCTTAAGTCACAAATCACAACCACATAGAGAACAGTGCCAACATACATGTGGACTAAGTAATGACACCATTTTACCTGTGATCTATCATCTATGGGTTAGTGATACTTGTTGGACCTCATGTATACATATAATGACAGACAAAATATATTACTAGAACATACAGGGTAAGTACTCTGTTAATTTTATGTCATCTCCTCCGTCCACTCTCCCAATTAATGCACGTTCTTTGCCTAGTTAACTTTGGTATCGACGTACAATCCTTCAAGCCAGTAGAATCTTACTCTGGTTAATTTTATGTCGGGGAATTGAGACACCTAAAAGGCTAAAATCATTTTAGACTTGAGGTGCCCGCTACTACCTGCAACATTTAAGCCATTTCCATCACTCTGAGACTAGACCAAGGGGCCAATCAATATTTATTGAACCAATAATACCTACTACATGCATTTAGACCTTTCAACAATCAGCATAAATGAGAACTTTCATCTACTTGCATTAATGGGAAATTACTGCGTGTTTGGTCTGCAAATTATGGAGCTAACTTCTCTACCCTCATGGATTTCGATTTGTGTACTAGTGTTATACGCTAGTTATGCACGGACAAACTTAAAGAATCTTATAAAATTATAATCTAATATATCATATTATTTTAATAAATTTCAGTTGCTATTTTATTTTGTAATATAGTGTGTGGATATATAATAAAATTTATATAATTGAAGGATACACATCATATGATAATCAAATAAATTATTTATTTCTTATTAAATTAACAAGTACTTAGTACTAAATATTTACTAATGTAACTTTTTATTAACTTGTCAAATTGCTTAATATTTTCTCTTTATTTTTCTATAATATAAAATAGATATATATTTTCTTGCTATAAAAATATTTTTATTTTTTTTGCTGTTTAAATTCTTTAATTGTCTAAATTTATCAATATATTTTTTGAGTATTATTTACTTACCTCTTATTTTTCTTAATTAATTTAAATTATAAACGTTCTAATATTATCTTTATCCCTCTCTTTTTATACTACTATATTATTTTATTTACTAAGGAAAGTAACTCATCTAATTTGAAATAGAGAGAGTATATAGTACTCCATCCGGTTCACAATAAGTGACCAATTTGCTTTTCTTGTTTTGGTCCAAAATATGTGTCCGTTTATATAATCAAGAAAAATTCAATTTGTTTTTTCAAAATTACCCTTATGTACGTATTCCTAAAAAGTCATTTACTCCTCACATTCAGAGGCGGAACCAGGATTTGAGCANATATATGAGAGAGAGAGAGAGAGAGAGAAAAAGAGAGAGATTTCTTCGCAAAATGGGGATTATGGGAAGAGAAGGAATAAAATTAATTAAGTTG